CAGGGCCGTTTGCCAGGCTCCACAGCCCTTCCCGGGACCTTTGGCTGCACATGCCTGCAGCCAGAACGAGGGGTAAGCATGCATACACTAGGGCGTCCGTAGTGTAGGATAAGCACTGGTAAAAGGTATCAAGAATAGAGTGTCTTGAGGAAATAGCCGGTGTATGGTTATAGCAAGCCTGGGGGGTAAATTTGCCACCCGCTTCCGCGTGCATTAGGTTAGAACTAGGGGTGAACAATTTGTAACGGTGAAGTACAAGTCCTATGCGGCAAGCAGCGGCCAGCAGCAGCAGCAGCAGCAGCAGCAGCCGCCTGCAGCCAGCAGCCAGCGCCAACCGCCAACCGGCAGCCAGCCAGCAGCACCACGCAGCAGCAGCGCAGCATCAAGCCGCAGCAGCAGCAGCAGCAGCAGCAGCACTACCGGCAGCAAGCACCACCAGTGTGATATATCAAGGTTTAAGGCACACAGCTCATCGCACTACCAATTGCTAAAGCAACGAAAAAGTCAGCTAGCATGCTAGCTTTCGTGACAAGGACTGTGCATACACTAGCGCATCCGTAGTGTAGCATAGGCACCGGTAAAAGGAATCAAGAATACAGAGTCTTGAGCACATAGCCGGTGTCTGGTTATAGCAATCCCTGTCCGGCTTCTGGTTCTTCCAGCTCCTCCCCCAAGCGGCACCAGGGCGGAGCCCTTACTATTATATAATGTTGACACGTGAACATGTCTCAAGCCATAAAAACACAATTCCAGTCTCCACAAATTGTGGCAAAGTGGCAACCATTGCTCTGACAGCTTTGCAAGTGTATCTTTCTAAATTCATTCGTTCCTTGTCGTTGAGCCGCCATGGTCTTCCCATCAACTCGACGCCGCCCGGGCCAACTTTCTTCTGAGCGAGGGAGCTGAGGATGTGCAGAAAGGCACAAGCAACTCATGTCGTTCCAAGTTCCGTTCCGAGTTCTCACTCTGTCCGGAGCAAGTCCTTGCCTGGTACACCTTCCGCAAGGTTTTCATTGCTGCTTGCACTTTCTTGTTGCTGGCCTCATCCTCCTGGAACAGTTTCTACCCACACAAAGACAAATCAGCTGCTAACTGATCATCACTGCTCTCCTTCTTGAGAAACTTCTTGACAGAATCACTCAGAAGAGATTTGTTCAAGGGCTTATCCCAATCAATCTTGGGAAATTCAGCCTGGAGCAAGGGCAGAAAGGAGAAACAGCCAAGGGAACGAAATCAGAAAGCCACTTGCAGTGTGCATTGACCCTTACAGAGCCGAAATGCTAAGCTGGTCACCAACGCTTTTGGCATATCTTCCGCCTCACCGGCAATCAAGCATCTGAAGAAGGCTTTTGACTCAAATCCAATCTGGTGGTGTGCGTTGGTCTTGAGAATAAACGTTCAATTGATGAAAGTTTGTACAGGGCTGCAAACATAATGACATCTCCGCAAAGCAGTGTCCGCGTCGAAAGAAACTTTGTTTAGATTTGCTTGAGGCACAAATTTATCCACAGTGCCATTCAAGCCCAGATGGGCTTGGAAAAGAAACCTCTCTTGTAGTTGCTTTTCTGCATAACTCCATCAGTCCATCAACCCAAGGGCTCTTAGACAGGCTCTGACGCAGAATAGCCTCTGTATCTCTTGTCATGGTAGCGTGAGGGAATGGTACCTACTTCTCTGGCGTGCCTGCGTCTCAGGCGGCACGGGAGGCTTTATAGGATTGGCTGCCGTCATTGGCTTCACCTTCTCCTTAGTCATTGCAATCCAAATCAAAAACAAAGAACAACATTTGGCAGTAACCTCAAGGTGAACCACAATGCAAAAAGAGCCCAAAGCAAGCACTGACTACGCTCACCCGTCTTGTGTGCCACAAATGCCGAGCAAGTCTCTGCTGGTTGGAGCATGTGTTCCTGCAATGCTCGCGGTGCCAATGCTATAGCACGGTGAAAAAGAAAGCAGAGCTTGCGATGTGGCCTTCATTTTCTCACTCATGTTTTTCAGAACCGGAACAGAGTCATCGCCTCAGAAGCAACTGACATAACCAATGGACTCTGATAGACAACTTCCAAAGTCATTCTAAAGCACCACATCTGCGAAACAACTCAGCACTTCTTGGTGGCTTATGTCAATGTCTCCCAGCATACTGTCGTCAAAGTGTGCACTCCCGAGTTGTAGTGATGCGTGGCAATACATATTTATTGTTACTCAGGCAACCAATGAGGATCCTTGCGGTGCACGTTAGCAAGTAAAGGCGGCCTCAAAAGGTGATCATGACCTTCTATACACTGCCTCCACTTAGAGTGGCTAAAAACAAGGTAGCGGCCTCATTAATGACCCCGCTGTTTTTTAGTATTCCAAAAATGAAAGCTCCACGAAAACGATCTTTTAAGTGTTTTTAGTGGTTTGTGAACTGCGTTTCGACTGTTATTTGCAGGAGAACGAACAGTTTTGTCAGAATTCCATTGTGTAAAATGTTTCGGTTCGAATTACACCACCCGTAGACCCCAAACAGGTGGGACAACAACGAAGCATTCCCAAGTCCACATTTTGAGACATCAACAAGAAGGGAGACAAGAAGGGAGACAAAAGGAAACAGAAGGGAGACAACACGGACACAATGGCCAACAAGAAGGGAGACAAGAAGGGAGACAAAAGGAAACAGAAGGGAGACAAGACGCACACAATGGCGACAAGGCGGACACAGTGACCAACAAGAAGGGAGACAAGAGGGGAGACAAAGGTAACAGAAGGGGGACAAGGCGGACACAGTGACCAACAAGAAGGGAGACAAGACCGGAGACAAAGGGAGACAGAAGGGAGAAGGCGGACACAGTGACCAACAAGAAGGGAGACAAAGGAGGCGGACACTCTTAGAAAGCCTTGAGGACCCCTAACAGTACATAACCTGTTTGGGGAAGTACAGAAACCACCTGGGACACAAATGAATAGAAATGCTGGAAAGGGGAAAAGGGCGGAGGCCAGCAGCGCGGGCACCGAACCTGGAAAAGAAAAGTAAACAAATCATTTGGGAGGCAAATGAATAGAAACGCTGCATGGCCAGCGGATTAAGGGTGGACACTAGCAGGGCACACCGAACTTGGGAGACAAAAGTAAAGAAACCACTTTTGATACAAATGAATTGAAACGCTGCATGGCCAGCGGAAAAGGGCGGACACCAGCAGTGTCAGAAAGGGCGGACACGTTTTAAGAAAGAATTGAGAACCCCTAAAAGTATACTGATTGGGGAATGAATAGAAATGTTGCGTCGCCAGCGGAAAAGGGCAGACACAAGCAGTGACAGACCTGGGAGACAAATGAATAGAAATGCTACATGGCCAATGGAAAAGGGCGGACACCAGCAGCGACTTGGGAGACAAATGAATAGAAATGCTGCATGGCCAGCGGAAAAGGGCGCACACCAGCAGTGACAGACCTGGGAGACAAATGAATAGAAATGCTACATTGTAGCTACATGGCCAGCGGAAAAGGGCGGACACCAGCAGTGACACAAAGGGCGGACACATCTTAAGAAAGAATTGAGAACCCCTAACAGTAAACTGTTTGGGAAAATAAAGAAATTGGTCACCAGCATGTGTGCAAGAAAACATGTGCGCGCAACACAGCACGCTTCGTGTATACATATTGGCATGCAGAGCGCAGAAGAGTTCCTTTGTACGGGTGTGCAATTTGAACCGAACGTTAGCACCCCAACCCAACCCACCCCACCCCTCCTCACCCCACTCTCAGTCACTCGTATTGTGTGCGTAGCATAGAAAGGCTTCGGTTGTATGGGTGTGCAATTTGTTCGCCGAACGCCACCCCTTCCCCCTCTCAGTCACTCGTATTGTGTGCGTAGCGTGGAAAGGTTTCGGCTGTATGGTATGGGTGTGCAATTTGAGCCGAACGTTAACATCCCAACCCCACCCCTCCCAACCGCACCCCACCCCACGTGTGTAGCACCTGTTGTCCGTGCATAGCTCGTAGTTCCGTATCCAGACGCTTCGTACAACTTTCAGCTTAATTCATTCCTTCACTTCTGGCTCAAGATTGAAGCCCGCACATACTGCACTGCGCGCCATAGAAAAGTGAGCTCGCTGACACTCGCTCACGTCTCCGCATCGCACTCGGGCATACTTGGTGTATTCGATCAGGTGCTTTGTTACTAGGTTACTTCACTGCCACTTTGGGGAACTTACCCCTCACCACCCCACCCACCCCCCCACCCACCCCACATGCTATGATGTGCATGACGGCCAAAAAGACCTGTATATAAATACCACAAGAAACGTGCCGCGGATACCACACGAAATCGTGTGCAAACCCTCAAACAGCGGGGTCGCTAGTGACGCCGCCAGCAAAAACAATATATAATTAGTGCAGTGACGAGGCTGTCTGGAAACATGCTCCCAACCCAGAATGACTGCTCGAGGTGAGACTGTACACTCAAAAAAAAGTGCAGTCCAATGCAATCACAGATATCAATGTGGAAGCAAACATCAAACGCCATCAGATTATGAGAAAGACTCCTAAGCATACAGCCGCCTCTTTGATATTGTTACTCCTGCTGGCAGTAATCTAAGCTTCTGGCCGCTTTCGATCTTATCAATGAGCTTCTGTGCCGCGTCCGCGAATGCATTCATCTCATTAGCCGCCACTGGAAGGATGAACCTTATGCCATGTTCCTCTCTCCTCCAGTGCTCTCTCCTGCCTTCACTTTTTCTTGTCCGCTTTACAGTCTTGTCATTACGACTCAAGCTAAGCACAAGACAAAGCAAGCAAGGAAAAGGAGAGGAAAGCCATCATTTTACGCCCTCCACCTACCTGGACTGTCCATCTAGCCACTAGCCGCTACCCAAATAAACTTTGAGCAAAACCGACAGTGACGCATAGACTCTAAATGGCATGGCTTGGCTTGGCTGCGCCACTACGCAAGCTTCAACAAGATTCTACCAATCAATCATGATGGCTCGTAATGAAGACAACTCTCTGACCACCTTTTGCGCCCTTGTCAGTGCCCTGCTACGCGAGGCAAAGGCTTGTTGACATCAACATTAATGCCACCTCAGTGTGGCTTTTATGTCGCCACAAACATCAAACCAGAACCACTGAAGCTGTGGGAAGCAGAATCTCGAAGCAAAATGCTAGTAAGCGTCTGGCTGGTGTCACCGGGCCTGCCGTCAAAGCACAGCGCTTTTAGCTAGTTTCTGTTCGATTGAGACAGCAAATCCAAGCTTCGCCTGAAACAGGTCAAGGTCTCCATCTTCATCCGACCAGTTTCAGGGACCAGTCGCCAGAACTGACAGGTTGCTGTGCAAACATTTGAGAAGGAATATGAGATACAAAGTGAGTGTTTGTTTGTTTTCCTTGTTTGTTTCCTTGCTTATCCTTGTCTCCTGTTTTGGTGCTCTGAGCACGTTTCAGGCAATCACACCATTTCAAGCTGCGGTGCCGAACGCAAAACTGCAGCTCCCTGGCATCCTTTGTGCCCAACGGAGAAGGCTTCTGCGATGCTGTCCGGAGTATGTGGCTTTCCGTCGAAAAAGCTGTTCTTCCTGTTCAATGGTTTTTATGTGCATTGTCATTCTGTATCTCCATAATCTCCATATCATCTGTCTCTGCATTCTTTTCCTGGACTTCTGTCACTGTCTGTCGTCGACATTATATAATTGATTCAGTGCAGATCGTTTCTTCCCTGGTTCTCCAAAGACATCAATGTTGCCACTCTCAGATTGTCTGCCCCGACCTCAGTTCGACAAGGCAGCGCCCTTGGTACTTTGTCCCTTCCTGAGGGCTTTGCTCGTTACTCAGCCACTTCGGAACTTGCCCAAGATGTGCAAAGAGCCTCGGTTGCGATGTATTACTGTTTACTGTAATGCGCTAGGGGTGAATGCCATTTTGACAATGCTGTATGTATATATATATATAGCAATTCTGTTCCAATCTGGAGATACATCTTGTGTTCACAAACAGATTTGGCAACCTTTTGCTGGAAACCTCGGAGCGAAGGCTGTACCACCAAATAAAGAGAAAGTATGAGAACAAGCCTTGAACATGCTTAATCAAAAGCGAAGTCCCCTACTGTAAATCGTATTTTAATCTTTGGTTCATGGACCTGAAGAACCTGAAGTCAAGGTTCGCTTTGGGGCGGGAACCAATTTTGCTGCAGAGTCCTAAAGAGAGATTGAACATGTCACTGTGAACAACGACATCCCTGCTCCCGGAAAGAATGCTACCCTCCGCCTACTATTCTTATCCACATCTCTTGGCACTTTCATCGGTGTCCAGTGCCACGTCAGTTGCTTTCTGAACAAACAAAACGTATTTTTGGAGCAGACCAAAGAGAAGAAGCTATCGACTCAAAGCTACCCTCAGACAAAATGCATCTCAATCAAGACAAGGGACACACAATTGCCATGAAGACTAGCGACAGCACCAAGACTGTCGTGGGTCCTACCTCTGAACAACATTTCGAGGGCAATCATGCAACTGCAACAGTACATTTGTTTTGCGATATACGAGCTTCGAAAGAAGCTTTAGCAACTAGCAAATGTAAAATGTTCCAGGTCAAAAGCCATGGGGAAGGGAAGAGGCAGGACAATAGCATGATGCCATTTGGTTGCGTCATGCCTCGCCTTCAAGCCTGGGGTATCATCACTGTAGAACTTCAGGATGCCGCCACCACCACCGCCAGCCTGCCATTGAAAGCAGTGAAGCCCATCCGAGAAAAAGAAAATGCAAAGCGACGACATGAATTCATCAACAAAAACACCGAACCACCCACAAAACTTCACACTAATGTCAAACCCCTGGCAAACATCAAGTCAAGCAGGCTTGAGGTACCGCCTTCTTTCCACTGTTTGCGCCACCAGCACCCGTCCTCAGCTGTGAGGTCATTTAGGTTCCATCTGGTCAGTTTGGACTTGGTCGCCTTGTCGTGGTGCGGCGGGCCAAAGCTGTTCTGGAGCCTCCAACCTCTACAGCCAAAGCTGCTAAAAGCTCGGACAGAACTTCAACCAGCCCTGAGCATCTGGCAGATGCTGCAGCAGTGCCACGCCCAGTGCCACCCGAACCCGAGTCTGCCATCCTAGAGCAAGACTGTGAGAGAAGGCAAAACATGATGTGACACTAACAGAGCGAAGAAATCCCAAAGAAGACTGTGTCTTTTGAGTATTCCCCTGTCCTCAATCAAGCCACGAGCACGCGCTCCAGAATGTTACAATGCTTGGGCAAAGCTGCAGTGGCGCAGTAGTAAGTTGTGTATATATAATATAACACCAGAAACTACACTCATGCACCCCTCTGGCATCAGGACTTGCTTGACGGCTTGACAGTGCTGTTTTCACTTGCAGACATATGGGCCTACTGCTCATCCATTCATCTGTCCGAAATGTCAAACTTCCGGAAAGGAAAACACAGTTTGTCAGAAAGACATCTCAAAAGGCGTCTTGACAGGTGTGACCTCTGCCCAGGCGCAGGTAGAGCCCATCGACCCAGCTCCACTAGCACCCTGTGTTTGCTGCTAAATTATGCAAAAAAGAGCAAGGATTGATTAGTGATTAGTGCCGAAACAAAATTTCAAGACACGCATAAAAGGAGTGTGTCAAAAGAAAAGGAGTTTGTTTGGCGACTCGAACTCTACAAGCTCCATACTATAGATGTATATGATTGTATATGTATAGACTGAATTGCCGAACTAGCCTCTCTCGACGTCAGGGCACAGTAAAGGCCATCTATTTGAAGAACCTCCTCCAGAGCTGGCTTCACCTCCATCTTTTGAGCAGTGTAGAAAAGAAACGAAATTCCAGCACCAAATTTAAGGAAGCTAGCGTGAATGACACCTTGAAAAACGTCCCTCATCACTCATCCAAATGAATGGCAAATGCAAAGCCTCTTTGTCAAAGGCGGCTGTGAGTTCGAAGCAATCCACTTGCATCACTATTGCCGGCAATGCCTCCAAACAAATCCGAGGATCAATCTCACGTCTTGGAGCTCAAACAATAAGGATCAAAGGAAGAACTGCTGAAAACAACTCAACATCAAGCTTACCTGACAGGCAACACTAGAGTGTAGCTACAATCGGCATAAGTGGCTGAATCCTGACAAAGTGGCAGAAGTTCTTCTTGCTTCGAAGGCATACCTCTCCAGGGAGTAGTGCACATAGACCTGAATCGTAAGCATCATTGCAAAAAACTAAAAGCATCGATGCTTTGTGAGGACAGGCATTTAGATCATTGATGGAATAGCGTTTTTTGCAAGCTTGATGAATACTGAGGCCTGTGCCTCCACTCCTCGCAGTGTAAACCAAGATGCAAATTGGGCCAATGCAACTCGGTGCCTCATGTATCCCTGAGCAACGGAACTAAATAGCGGAAGAACAGTAGTCAGCCGTCAAGGCATCCCAACTTCCAAAAGTAATTACAGTACAGCTGAGAAAATGACATGTGATGACAAATAGCTTTCAGAACATTACAAACTGCGCACTCCTTCGCTGCAACACATAATGTATCTGATATGACACAAAAACTAGGATAAATGCGCAAGCATAGACTCGCTTCACGGTAAGTTGGCTGGATCGAAGTGTTCTATGTTATTGAGTCTGAAGAATGAGGGCCAGCAATCGTCACTGAGAATATGCTGGGCACATGGATGCTCAGACACTTATATAAATATTAGGGCCAGGGGCTTGCAGGGTTGCTGGGTCATAAAACCTTGCCAACACAAGGGCAAGCCGGCCAAGCAACAATTTCAACTGTCAACAAACCTGTGTCACATGGCCCATGAAAAGGACTGAAAGAGTTTGCATGTTCAGAACCATGACCTGCCTGAGCATCGGGTTCGTATTGCGAGTCCACCAAGTGCACTGACGTCACTGGCACTCCTCAACAAGCTTTGGTGTTCACTTGGCTGGTTGCCTTATTGGCTTCTGCAACAACCTGCACACCATGTCAATGCTACAATCAGTGGGTCTGGGATCTTCTAATTCTGTAGAAGTGAATTGCTTTTCTTGGGGGAAGAAGCTTTCTCTAATTGCAAAGCAGACCTTGCATGCTCAGGCATGGTGAATCTCAGCTCTCAGGGAGCCCTTACCGCTGCGATTGTCTACAAAACTCTTCCGGACCTCTCGACAGTAGCATCTCAAGTAGGCTGAAATCGAAGCGCAGCAAGCCACTCCCAAGTGATGTATAGCAGACCTGCGCCAGTTGCACACCCACTGGTGGTTGGAATTTTAAGGAGGCAGAAAATAAGCTCCTAGGTAGGACGCAGGATAGCTCACGCTATTCATTTGGCTAGACTGTTCAGGTGTGACACAGTCTGGCACACAGAAGTGATCTCTTTTCCTCACACATCTTTTTTGAAGCTTCGGTCTCCGGCCCGACTCCATGTTTCACACAGTTTACTTTCAGTGTTCTGCTTTCAGTGTTTACTTTCATGGTTCACTCCCACTTTGGTCTACTTTGTACACATCTTGCTTTGTGCTCCTTCCAAAAGGGTTGAGGCAAATAAAATCGAGCTTTGGCACAGGATGGGCTCCCCTGGGCCCAAGTTCAACTCCGCCAAGGACGCATCCGCCTGCCAACGCCGCTGCTGGAGCGACACCAAACTCAGAAGGCTCGTTAGCAACTTCTGCCTTGCACCACTCCAGGCTCGCTGTGTTGAGCACCAATAGCTCTTCCTCTTCAGGGATGGCTTCGACACCATGGCCACCATAAACCAGCAAATGCCGTCCATACCGTTGTGCACCAAATCGCATTCGAGGTGCAGGAATGAACACCTCTTCTTTTGGAGAGCCTTTTCTTTGGGCACCACGCTTCCAGCGCAATGTTTGAAGATTTAGTGAATAGCCCAACATGGTGGCCGGTGTCCCACCATGAAAAATATCAAGACGATCTTCGCATCCGCCCATAATCACGAAGTGTTCTGCTGTACTATCAGAGGAAAAGGTTGCACCAAAGTGTAGCGATCGCCAGTGAGGAATTTGTCCTTTCGTCTGTACTCGCTCCCACCGCTGCAGATCCACATCCAAAATGTACACATAGTTTGCATAAGCTCTGTCTCCAATGAAAGTGAATTCTGGATCTTGAGGTGGAATATCACCGCCAAAGACCACAACCCGCTTTCCTTTAGAGAACGAGTCTGCAGCATGGTGCCAAATCGATTTTGGCACATGCCCGCTGGCCGGGGCCTTTCTCCAGTTGATTTCTGCTGGAGTTCCCCCCTGCAATAATCCATTTCTTTCTGTCTGCAGTTCAAGAAATAACAACGTCTGGAGTCCATCACACGGCTTGTGGGTCTTGTCATTGCAACCACCCAAAACCAGGATGCAGGAAGAGTTTCCAGGAGTCACTGTGCAACTCGAGTGACGAAGCCGCCTTTCTGGCTTCTCAGAGCCCTCTGCCAAGCGAGGTTCGCTCAGATTCATCTTCAAGAGGTCTAAAACTGTCACATGCAAATCTACTGCAGTGCTCCATGGCCTCCATCCTCCAATCACAATGACTCTGTTCTTCAGTGTCGAGGCAGTATGGCCGCTGGCGCCTAAGACTTTTTGACGGAGCTCAAAGTAAGCTGCATCATTTAAGCGTCGAACTCCACCAGAATAGCCCCCAGTTAGACAAGCTCCCCGAAAGCCCTCAACGCCCTCATCCAACTTGTCCTCAGGAATGATAGCCTTCTGAAAACAGTCGCTTGAATGCAAGCACCGTTCTCTTAGGCTATGCTCGTAGTAAAACGAGTCTGGCCTATAGGCAGCTCGAAAAAGAGTTCTCCAGAATTCGGCCCCTTGATCTGCATCCACACCTGCATCTGAAGCAGCCCGGTGCAACGTGACAACAGCCTCATCCAACAAAGAACGGCTGAGAGACTGCCACAAGGATACGCTTCCATGCAAAAGCTTCCTCAAGCTCATGTTGCAAACGCTGCTGGCTGTAAGAGCCTTCGCTGGCAAGAAGTGGCATATCCTCAGGAAAATATCTTCTCCAAGCATTTCTGTAGCGATGTTTGAGAATACACCACTGACATGGTGTATTTCCCGGCTCTCAATTGTCTTGAGGTTGCTGGGTTTGAGCAGTTTGGGAGCAGCCGGGCCCAATTTGACAGCCCATCTACCTGGCGCACACAACCAAACAATGGAATTGGGAGGATTTGGGGGGATAAACACACAGCCGTTGCTCAAAGGTACCAGTAGCGGCTGCTGGTACATGTATGTGCTGGTTTGCAACACCCTGGGCCTTTGTCTTCGTGGAAAGCTTGCAGTTGTCCAATCGTTCCATTCAGCGCTTCTGCTGCAAGACCATGCAGCAGCACCCGATCACCCGGGCGCAAGACTTCCATGCACAGTAGAAAAAGTTACAAAATGCATGCGAGAATAGAAGCAAAAGAACGACGTTATGACATTGTGTGTGCACACGCGCATCCCTTGTACCAGCTTGCTTACCTGCTTGTTTCATCTTGTTTCTGGAGATTGCTTGCCTCCATTATTTAAGGCTAAAGTGGAGTGGCTTTGTTTCTGATGACGAGATGTTGGCCTGACTCAACGCAAAAGGCTCAAAAATTCCAGAGCTAACTGCAAGCTGCAGCTCAACTGACAAACTCTGTCGAGTCAAAGTTGCTGTGTGAACCGCCCAATGGCCCTTTCTGAAAAGCCATTTCTACTCCTGAAGCCCCCCAATAACACCTTTTGTTGGATTGTGCCCTTATTCTCGCCGTCCTATCACCCGATGTCATTGAAAAACTTGGACTAATGACATACATCCAGGACAAAACCACACCTCAGCATGTTCCGCGGTGTGCTTGATGATACGCTCAGCTGTCGTCCTGAGGTAGACTTTCAATGCTTTCCACTCCCGGCCAAGGAGTTGGGGCACTTAATCTTAAGAAGCTCAAATGAACATTGTATGCTGAAGCAGCTTGACTCACTCCTGAGAAACGCGTCACGTGCAACTGGATTCACAGAGCGGCTACAGCTGCAGCCAGCGGCAACCTTGAAAACGACAAGGAATCATGTGTGCAGCAAGACATTTGGTACAACGGTACAAAGTCCCAACTACACCAACTCGTATCCCAATAGCAGAACTGTTGCTTGCAATACCTGGGAGTGTCTTCGAGTGTGAGCTTGGCACTCAGAACCCAATTGAGGACAAACAGCAATTTGGGTGAAGCCCGGAAGTCAAAGCAAGAAAGAAGTTCCAAATTTGCGTTGACCGATCCTGTGTTCTGTTGAAATCGCTATGCCACTTAACGAGGAAGAAAAGGCCCAAACGCGAAGCCAGAAAGCCAAACAGCGCAGGATGCAATCGCACAATGAATACACTGAATTGAGAGATACATTTACAAAAGCACTACAGTAAAAGGGTCAGAACACCAACGTCCAGAGAAAGCAGTAATTAATCACGCAGAGTGGAATGCTCAGGACCATTGGGGAGACTATTGCCTACTGCCGCAGAGATCAGCCAGCGAGACACCAGTAACGCCTTTTGCTGTCAGCTAATTATTTTGGAAGAGGGACCACTTGCCTCTAATGCTGCACTAAATCCTAATGCCAATTTGCATGTGATCCGTCTGCCTGAGGTGGCAACGCATTCAGCTAGGCAGTCATTCACACTGCAAACGTGCCTCAGCAAATGCCGGAGCTCGTTCCAATCTCACAGGCTTCCTTGAGGCTTCGACCAAGCCCCTAGTTCAGATTGCCGCTTCAGCTCAGTCGCCTGCGGAACTCTGGCAGTTGGCAACATTATATTATATAAACAAACAAAAGCCACTCTTCCGATGGCGTGCTCCAAACCACGTGGCCTCTGCTTCATTGACCTGGAGCACCGACGTTGGCAGAGGATAAGAGTGGCAAAAAATGCATGCAAGAAGCAATGCCTCAGCGCAAGAGGCCACCACATACCCATCAGCAGCGACATCGAGAAAGAACTGCTCAGCCTGAACACAATCATGTCAAAGTACGGGCTAGTCATGGCCAGGTCAAAGCCACTGGCCGCTAGTCTTTCGCAAGGTCAAGACTCAAGACATGCCAGTGGTTCTCGCTGGTGCCACAACACCTCTCCCACAAGCACCTGCATGGATTTAATTTTATCTTTTTCCTATTCAAGAAAATGGAGATTCCTTCTGAGGCAGGCTCTGTCATTCGCTTACGATTGACACCAGGTCCGGTCACATGAGGTCCTGTCCATCGTCATGAGGTCTTGTCTTTCTCTAGGTTCTGTTAACCCCTTGCACAAAGCTGGCAAGCTTATAGAAATTATAGCTGTCAAGCTTCAAAGTTGAGACTTCCATTCTATCTGTACCGATGCAGGTCACCAAGCCGAAAGGATAAAATCTATTGTGCATGGGTTGTTGCAAGCTATCATTTGCTTAGAAAGCTTTTCGAAATTGGCTTGGCGTGTATGGACTTTCATGAGTTAGCTGGAAGCCAAAGCTCGGCAAATTTACCATCAGCTCTGGGCTCATTCTCCTATTCCAATAGCGTACTCCATAGACTCTGCATGTCTCAGTACCCTTTGTTTGGCGCTGGTTTTCGACTCGCACGAAAGTAGTTGAGGCTAGCCAAAAAGCATGTCGAAATCGTCCTGCAATACAGAGAAACAATGAATGCAGTAAATTGTTCACTGCACCTTGTCCTTGGCAAGGCGACTAATGCTGCTGGACTGTTTGACTGCAACAGCTCCTTGCCCGACGGCCTCGCCGCTTGACTTGGTGGAGCAGGGCCTAGGATAATGCTGGCTGCTTGAGATGAAGGAGTATGCTTGTTGACGGAAATAGGGAAAAATACATAAGCCCAGGACTGTCTCCAAAAAGCAGATCTTCAGAATCACCGGATGCCTGGAATGCATTCATTAGAACACAACAAAACACATCGTGAGCAAAGGAAAGCACACTCTTTTCGAGTTTCTGTCTGGCTACGCTTTAACATACTCTGCGGTCTGCAAAAACTACATGGCTTTGGCTGCCTTTTCTGCAAACAGCCTCAATCCTTGCTTATCTACAAATGCAATTATTTGGTGATGTGATCTGGCAAGAGGGCTGTTGAATTGCTTTAAACTATATAAACGCCACATATATATATATATAGCCACAAAATACTCAAAAGTCCTTCTCTGTCTTGACAATAACGCTTGCAAAAGCCGCGCCATCGGTGAGGTGTCTGGAGATGCCTGGCAAGGCTTGATAAACTGCATCACAAGCATGTTGCGACACAACCCTCACCCATGCTTTCAAAAGGAAAGGCCGGAAGCACTGATGGTACATCCGAAGCAGGTTGCCGTGGCCTTCAGAGCTTGAGCAAAGAACAGGCTCAACATGATACACTCTCAGTTTTTTAAAAGTAGGATAGACTTTTTTCCACTTGTTCCTCTTCAGGGAAACCAATCCCGCAAACAGGTTCAGGTTGACAACTGACTCTGAGAACTCAAGAGCGGTGCATTTGTAGCTTGCCCCAGTTCACTCGTAAGACCTTCGGAAGCTGACATAAATTCACCGTATCTAAGAGTTGCGCACATCTGGTGCTGAGCTGCAGAAACTACGAATGTTCTTCATGCAGTACTGTACTCAGTACATGCCTTCGCAATGACCTTGTCCTCAAACATGGGGACCTAGCTTCAAGCTTTCAGTGAATAAAGTGCATCCATCAAAACCAAAAGGTTGAGATCATGGCCATTGAATCTTCATTGGTCACATCCTAGAAGCTGCTGAGTGTGGAGGATTGAATTCAAGGTGCGTGCAACATACATCACAAAAAGAATAAAAATACATGCACAACAAAAGTTGTGTAAACCCGTGCTTGGAAGCTGTGGCAGCTGCCATCCAAACAGCACCAGACCTGAAATGTTGCTCTGCCAACTCTAAAGGTGCTCTCAAGTTGTCACAAGGTTGTCTGAAGGCACCTAGCTCTGAGCATTGAGGCATGTGCTCCCATTTCATCTTGAATCGAAAATGGTACTGACCGGGCAGTGGAAAGGCAGCTTTGATGTCCTTCAGCTTTACTCCATGTCCTGAGTGACAGCAACCCAAAAGAACACTGTTTCAAAGAAAACTCACTTCGCCCCCATGTGTTTCAACATACGACCGTTGAACTAGAATTTGTTTTAAAAAAACGAAAATCAATTTCTCGGCAGATTTACCAACAGTTTCAATGTGAAGGTTTTCTCTGTATCCGAGAGATCTCCTCCATGGATAACCTCAAATGCATTGGGATGCTCTTGATCATCATTGTCACCTGCAAAACAGGGTGTTTGCCCTGTTCTTTCCAAACCCATGTCGTCAAGTCAACAAGCACCACAAGCTCCCCGCCTGGCAACCAATAGTAGGCTAACATTCGCAGCATGGTTGTCAAATTTGATATCTTAATTTCATTGCTGGATTCAAGCTGAACTTGACCAAATGTGCGTATGCAGTATGCACTAATCACATGGCTAAAGGTCTGGGGTTTGGTTGATCGACGCCACATGAAATTATGATAAGGGAATGATGAGGTGTGGCAGGTGTGGTCATATTTCAACATATTTATCTACAGTAGATTGCAGTATGTCTTGACATGGGTGAAGTGTATTTTTGGCTTCGATTTTGGCCAAAACAATGTGCCCGCAAAGACTGGAGCTGCACGTCTTTACCGTCATGGTTTCGAACATAAAGAAAAGACTGCCACAAATTGATTGACTTTTTGCCAAAAGTCTTATGACCTTGCCAAGGTGCGTCATGGCAACAAAACAAGGCTCGGATCCTGCGGTTGCTATGTGGTCGAACAGAATGCAAAACAATTTGGATTGCGGGGTTTTTCCAGTCCTATGTTGAGCGCGAGTTGTATGCATTGTGCAAGACATTTGCATTGGTTTCGACATGATACGTGCTGCACCACAAACAAAACAAACATTTGCAAATGTTGAGTTTCTGTAGGCTTGGAAACAACTCAGTGTCAAAAGTGGAAATGTTCAGTCGCAAAAGCCCACCACGATTTCACAACACGATCTCAACACGTTTGACGCATGGTTTCCGTGGAGTTTGGCCCAAAAACAAAAGTTTTGAAGAAACCCCATCAAACACACAGATCGCGCACTGCTTATTTGGACGGCATGACAGCAAAATCCGAATCTGGTTTCGGGCATCTGGCAGCTTCCAAACAATCTGCACACATTTATTGCGACGACTGTTGTCGCTCATTCGTCTTCAAACTCAAACAGAAGAAGTGTCAAGGCCTTAAAGTTGTGGCGTAGCAAGCCAGTTTACACTTCCTTTGTACCAAAACATTCCCATCATCAAAGCAATCACAGGAATTTTTCCTTCTGGCTTCTCAGCCGCACAACTCAAATGGTGCTTCGTAATGTCCAGTATTCGTGTCAGGTTGGCTCAGCTAGTGCAACCTTACACCTCAAACATTGTACATTGATGGGATGGTGCACGTCCTGATGCGGATTGTTCTGCCATGCTTTGCTCTTCTTCTGTCCCTTCACCTAGATCTGTCAATCCAATGTAGCTGCCACCTTCGTACTGCTGCTGCTACTGCCAGTTCCACGATGCAATCGAGCCCAGTAGTCGGGATCGGAAACTTCTTCCATTGGATCATCCATATGTCGTCTGTGTCGTTCTGCTGCTGTCTCAACGTCAAAATTTTCTTCCTCTTCGTCTTCTTCCTCGCCAGTTGCACTCAATTTCAGTTCAGTCCTGCTCGAGCTGCTGGCGAATGCTCTGCCTTCAATCGCAACACTTCTTCCAGGAGCGCGATCTTGTGGAGAATCTTCGTGCTCAGATCTCTCGCTGTCTGTTGAAGGTAGATCTCTTGGAACAGCATCAATACCATCCCAATTGATGTCTGAGGGGTTGTTCCTGAAATGTCGCTCATCTTAAAACAGAAATCATGCGCTCTCTGCCTCGTTGCTTCACTTGGTCCAGTTGCAAAGTCTGACATTGTTCCCAAAATCCTTCTTCGTTCTCATGTTTCCGAAGTCTAGTTGGGGTATATCTTCATTCTCCACGCAAGCTGAAACTCTTGCTTGCATCCAAAAAACAAACCACTCCGGGCTCCAAACACTCCATCTCCTGAAGTGTCTCTGGTCGAGGTGGAAATCTCGGTGGAACTGGAACATCTCTTCATGAACTTGCTCCTGTCGCAATTTCAAAGTGTATGGGACTAGAGGGGGAAGTTGCCAGCTCTGCTTTCATTTGGTTACTAGCTTGTCAAAGTTGGTCTAATCTGATTGCCCACACCTTTGTAAACACAAAGCAATAGAAAGCCATATCCCGGACATGAGGATCACCTGCTTTTCTCGCTCATAATGTGGTCAACTCGTCCAGGCCTATTAATCAAGCCAGGAAAAGTGTCAGCAACTTCGACTTGTAGCCTTTTTGCGCACTCAAGAGTCTCCTGTTTTTCCTCTTTAGTTGTTTGTTTTTTTTGTTGTTTTGTGGTGGTTTGGTTTGGTGTGGCTTTTGTTGTTTGGCACTTCACGCAAGAGACTCTTTCAAAAGCAGCTGTTGGAAGGATGCCTTTCCTTTTGCATGCTGGAAAGGAATTTGGAGGTTGCAGCTGTATGCGATCTTGCTACTGTTCCTGGTGTTTTTTTGCACGGATGGAGCCGCCATGTGTGCAGAGAATGCACAGGTCACCTTGTGCTACATATGAATGAGTCTCCGGCCTTGAGAGTGAGGAAACAACACAAACAAACAACCAAAACCAACCCCCAAACACCCCAAACGAAAAAACAGAAAGCGAAACCACAAGGCCGGTGAGGAGACTCAGCTTACAGTTTCTTGCTACTGTTCCTGGTGGCTGTCTGCTTGGCCAGGTCTTTGCTTTTGTCCCATGGGAATGTGTTCCTGTCACTTGGGACGCCGTCCACAAACATCATCGCTTCCAAATTCAACCTCGAAGCCTCTACACACAAAAGGCTGTACACCGCAAAACAAGGCCCATGAACAAAAGCCTCCCCTGAAAGCTGGGCTAGACACGCAGCTAAAAAGCGCAAGTGGTCCAGCAAAGCCATTGCGACAAGGGGAACATGGCATAAACACGGGGCTGAAAAACAATGGGCGGTGGGGAAGAGCTGTTCCCTGGACTTGGCCCAGAGCAGAATTCCAACACCACACACAAAGCTCCCGCGCCCCTTAGCGCCTTTTTTTTTTCACGAGTACGGACGCCATGTGGGCGGTGTGCCCGGGTCATCATAGAAAGGATGGAAACTCTGCATATTGGTGGGGGGATCAACCCGAAACCACAA